TTCCAAAGTGCTGGTAAACACTTCATATGATGATGAAGCCAGGGAGTAGTTTGTATCTTTCTAGCACCAACTCTAAATTAGACCTGATTTGGGGCAGTAAAGGTACATATACTTGTGCATTCATCGTGTCATCTGCTAGATTGAGAGAGTAGAGTCTATTCTTCGTCTTTGTACCTCTTTCTTTAAGAACTTAAGCAAACTCCTTAAGGATAGAGGCAATTAGTTGTGTCACAGGAATAAATAAATATATAAATAAATAAACATACCTCAAGCCCTAAAACATTTCTCATTCTCAGTTTCCTATATGCAATGCCAAAGTGAATATTAACTTTCACCTGCCCATTCAGTTTCTGTGAGAGAATAGCAGGACGTTATCAGTGCTTCAAAACACAGTTGATCTTCATTCAGTGTGCTAATGGACCTTGATCCAAACCTGTGAAGCTTTGTATGCAGAGCTCAAACAATGAAACTCTATCTTGATGACCAGGGAAAAAAGGACCTATTAAACTGCCACTTCTGTTTGAATAAAGGTTGGATCAAAAACTTTAGAGATGCTGATGGTTGCTAGCCTATTTAGAAGCTATTTAAAATCTAATTATCAGCAGCACAAAACATCCAGGATGTATAAATTCATACAGTAGCATATTTGAATGCATGGGTTCAGAAAAGAAATTATCCTAAAGTCCAGACTCTAGTACACTTTATAAAGAATATTCCTTTGAGAATCTGCTGATGGAGTGACTGCTATGGTGTTGAACAGAAAAGAATGAGGAAAAGTTGTTTTCCCTCTCCTTGCTGATGCCTCTCATGGGAAGGCTCTTTGCTAGTCTGTTTTATTTAACAGCCAGCTGGGAAGACCATTACAACCCACAGAGCTGAGCAGAGGCAGAGGTGGAACCTCTTTGGGGCTCCTCATGTCAGGAATCTGTACCTGATGCCTGCCACTATGCCAGAAAGGCTTCTCCAGGGCAGGGCTCCCTGATTCATAGGAGTAACTCCAATGGATGCATTTCCTTTTTGATTTATATTTTAAATACTTGGATATTGTTCTGAAAGGATGTAAATTTGCACTGAGTTCTCACATTAAGACATTACATTAATGAAGTGTTGGAGAGGGTGAATAGAAAGGCTGACTATGACTACTATCACCTGGGGAAATAATTTTGAAATTGATACTTATAGTGATTAAGCAGTTGTCTGAGGTTTAAATCTTTCAAAGAGGCATGAACATAAACTTCAGATCTGCAACTTGTCACACTGAAAAAAGTTCTGTAGCTGCGAGTGACATTGCTTTTATCTTAACTATGACCATAGCTAAAGTTAGACTGGGATTTTTTTTTAAGCTTGGATGTGCACATTCCTTCTTTTCTTGTAAGAAAGCCATTATTTGCTATATATTTGAGCTGGCAGAGCTAAGCCAGTTATCTGAGGCTGTTGTACACTACAATTGTTTTTCACTCTTGACAGTTGATTACACAGCAAGTTCCCCAGCCACCTGACCACCTGATGGTTGAGAGAAATGCCATGTTTAAAGTGCCTCTTTTTACCTGACTTTGTGCAATGCGAAGAAAAAATTTCAGCCCCCATCCCTGGGTCCCATCAGTTATATTTGCACATCTACACTTAAAGAAAATAAAATCTCCCTGGTGAATGACTTGTTTTCACAATAAAGAGAGATTGCACAAAAAAACCTATTCCGTTGCAGAGACCTCTCTGGAGCATGAGACACTGGGACTGGAGCACAGAATGGCATTTAAGAGCGACAAGAGCTCACTCTACTAAAGGCTCAGCTCAGAGTGTAGTGCTCTGTCCTTTTTATTCACTCTGCTAAATCTGTCACTATGACCCATAAAAGAGTAATCAGCACCCATAGGGCAGAGACACCCTAGATTCAGCTGGTATTTACCCCAGTTGCACGCTTAAGCCAGGGTCTGTACAGGTGTGTCTCCTCTCTTGCCACTCACAGGGAAGCTGCTGGGGCTCAGCTGCTCTGCTGCATCATGAAGGCTGTGCAGTCAAGAAGGACATTACAGGATCATGCCCTTATTTCAGCATTTTGGACACATCTCTGCAGGGGAGAGTAAAGGGCTGTATTTCACAGCTATGATATCATTCTTGTGAGCTATAATTCAGCATGAGCCACTATAAAACCTTTCCCATGACATCAGAGCTGTGAAATATAGCTGACTTCAAGTGCAGAAAATTCCCCCACAGGAATAATTGTTTCCTGGCAATTGGTATTTGAAGGACTGATCCTTTAAAAGGCTGGCACAAATCCCATCTAGGTAATGATGGTCCAGGCAGCACTTCTCTGGAAATGTTATGTGCAGGAGCAGAGGTATGGAGCCCCACCACAGGATCTGGCCATAGAGTAGCCTGTCAGGTGATGATTTTCACTTCTGTATGCCTCAAAAATACATGCAGACCTCCCTAATAGAAAAGTAGTACGTTTGCTCATGTGCTGTACTCCCTACATCTTTCCACATCTGCCCTCCAAACACAGATCGTCCTGATATATCCATCCTGGTACATGGCAGATCACCAGGTCTGCCCCTTCTTGGGGCAGTACTTAACTCACCTGGGCAGGACCCAGAGCAACCTGGCAAGAAAATGGAAGTAAAAAATGTTGTGTGAGACACAATTTCCTCTTCCATACGGCATGAAGGAGGATGTCCACTTGAATACAGTTCAATGGGTAATAATCGATGTTGGCAGAGCTATAAAGGACAAGACCCTACACGGGTCAGAAGGGTACAGAAGGAGGAGAAAAGAGACTATAGACATGGAGAGGGTTAAAGCCACCTCAGCTCTCCCCATCCTGGTGTCTGAATCTGCTGAACCTGCTGCTTATGTCCTGCTCCAGCAACCTGCACTCTAGTTTGCCACTGCTCCATCAGTTGAACTGAAAGCAATTGTCGAACACATTGTAAAGCTTAGTTATGCCAGCTTTCCCTGTTCCTCCTCTGGGAAGGTCTTGTGTGAATGCAGCTCTGTTCTTGCTGTTCTCTCTGTGTCTATGGTTACGTGCATGTGTGAATACACCCAGGGGTCTGTGTCTCTCTCACAAACTCTCAAAGCTGTGTGTGGACACAGCTCCCATGACCTGCAGGACAGAGTTGTCTTTCCCTGGCTGATAAGAAAGCTAGCTACAGCCCTCCCTCTTCTCCAGAAGAAATTGCACTGTGTCAGAATTAATTGTATTATTTACATTTTTCCTCTTAATGCTAAAAATCTTACTCCTTCTCACACAGAAGTTACCTCTTAACAGTATTTTACCTTTTGAAACAGTAAAATTATATTGTTTGAACAGTCCTGTTTCATTACCTACTATTCATATAAAAGCTAAGTGGTGTTTCTTTGTGGAAAATGATTTACTAACAGGAACTCTAAGAGACTTGAGGTTATTTCACACAATTTATTACCAAGAACAACGACAGAGAGAGCAGAGTAGCTAACCCGAGGCATTGCAGGTGCTGTAACTCCTTCAGCATAGCTCAAAGGCTAAATTATGTCTAATGTACACCTTTAAATAGACAAAAACATACTATAGGTGAAAAAATCATCTTTGATGTAGAATATGATCCAAGAAGTGTTTTGTGAAGCACAATGAAACATAAAAAACTTTTCTCTTCAGTTTCGTGTAGTCAGATTGTCATTCCACAGTCCAAATACTGAGAGATGCTGTATTGAATCTTGAGCTGGTTCAGAATGATTTATTGGGTTTTGATTGGAATGCTGAAAAAAAACTCCTAACTTTTTTTCAAAGAGCATCAGTGAGAGAGAAAATGAAAATTAATCAAATTATCCTTCTCTGAGGTTATAGATCTGTTTGAACTAAAAATTCAGTGAAGTGTTTACAACAAAAATATATGTTGTAGAATGTTTCTATCAACTAATTCTGATTTCTTCACATTCTAAAATGTTCCAAAGCTGTTCATTAGGCACTGGTTACCTGAGAGACATAGTATATTTTCTTCCTTTTGAATAGAAGCTTTCAGGTTTTTCAAAAACAGAAGAGCTGTCCACAGTACTCTGGGGTACTGTATCTGTAGCTTTTTGCATGTTGAAAATTATGCAGTATTCAGAGACAGAGATAATTTTTGTAATTATTTTGTAGGTACACTGATATTTAGTATTGTAATCATAGGAAGCAGTAGCTAGTAAAAACCCACAGGTAGCAATGAACTAGCTGTGGTTTGTTTTCTATTTTTAGAAGTTATTAGTGAAAGCATTTACATAGATAACTATATATTTAAAGATTCAAAACTCTGGCTGTAGATAATAAGAAAACCAAAATGTCCACTTCATTTCCTATGCAATAACAAGCAGGTCTGTTATGTGTGAGATATTGATAAATACACACATTTATTTCACTAACCTGTTGAGCCAGGTTGACTCCTTTCTAAATGGAGTCAAGGGCAAAACTCCTTAAATGTGAGGGAAAAATCCTGGAGTCAAGTCCAGTCTTTTCAGTCTATAACTGTAGCAACAGAATGCTCCTGGGAAGACAGTGTGCAGTTTTGCTGGCACTTCTTTAATGTAATATGGTAATCTCATCAAGATCCTCAATCAGAAAGAAATCAGTTACATCCCAAAGTTCAGGCAGTAAAAAGAGAAATATCTGGCTTGCCTTTATCAATGAAGGGAAGCAAATGGGGTTAAAGGGAAGCCACACACACCCTGAATTCAAACATCATGACTCCTTCCTCATACTCAATATGGATCCACTCAGATCATTTGCAACATTTTGAATCAGAAACAGCCCAGGTTTTCAACAATCATTATTACCCATCCACCTTGTGGACTTATTGCTGCAGTGATGACGTTAAATACCTTTGGAAATGCTAAAAGAATTGTTATTTTTCTTTTCAGGGATCCTTTGAGACTGCAAAGACTATTTAAAGAAGGAAGACGGCATGAGATTGGATTTAGTGCAGTAAAGTAGGTTAATTTGAGGACAAGACAAAAAATCATTATTTAGACCTACTTGTATTGCCGTGATGAGAACTTACCATTGCTTCTGGCTGCTGTTTTGGGCTGGTCAGACCCACCAAAGTTTCTTAACTCCATTATCCAAAAGGACTAGTGGCTTTCCAGAAAAGGAAAAGGTTTTGGTGTTGTCTGGAAACAGCAGGCAAGACCTCCATCGTTCCAAAAGGAGCTGGATGTGGAATCAGTTCTTTTTATTGGAGGAATACACAGGAACTGACTACCAGTATGTTGGCAAGGTAAGTTACTTTCATATGCACCTGTGTTTTGATTTTAGAAGCACCGGAAAGCCAGCAGTAGCAAGTAGGGAAGAACAATGCCTGCTACAACTTCTAGTTCGTGTTCCTGTGTGCCCAGCCTCTGCTGAGGAGTAATCCAGTGGAAAGGTCTGTGCACTTCAGCTTCAGAATGTAATCAACAAGTCTTCATTTAACTAGGAAGTCCCGTGGCAAATCACTGGCAATTCTATTAAAGATTTTGCATTTTATTTTGTGTCTGGAAATAATGCAGCTTAATTATAGGCTAGATTTTTAGCTTTAAACTGGGATATGTGTTTTCCCTTGTGCTTACTAATTTTGCTGCAGTCAAACTATTTAAACCAGGAGAGGTTTAGAGCTAAGTTGGGATTCCCAGTACTTACATTTTTGGTGAGGATTCTCTCTACCCAGCAAAAGGTAATTGTTTCCCTTTTTATTACCCACTGCACACAACAATGCTACAGCCATTTTCTGTTGAGGTTTCATGGTGCCACTGATGACTGTGTGACATGACCTTCACAGCACCAGCCATGCTACTACAAAGCATGGTTGAAGCACACTGTGCATGTACACTAAGAAGCAACAGGCAGCTGAAAATTTCTAATCTCTAAGCATGCTGTCAGTTGGGAAAGGATAAAAAAAAATTTTAAGAAGAAAAGTCACAGCTTAACTGAGAACATCCACCTCCCTGAGCAGCAGACTCCCATGTAGGTGACAGACTTTATGTAATCTGTAGAGCAATGCACCTGTGTCAAGAGCCTAAAGAGAGTCTATACTGCCCAAGGTGCCACAGTCTATAGGAATATGTCTTGCAGAATGCAGAAATTATGCTACTGATGATGACATTCAAAGCAGAAACAATACAGCTTGGTTTTCCAAACAAAAATGGGGTTGTATCTGATCTAGTTTGATCTCTCAAGCCTCTTAGCAAAGGCTGCAGATCACAGTGGTTTGACATTTTATCTCCCTCTGCAAGCTTCTGAGCATTCCCATGAGAGATGGTGGCTGCTTTTCTTGCCTGCCAGTCAGCTGTCAGTCAAAGTTGGATGCAACATTCCTTTCTTGTTAAATGGCTGCAAGGCATGATTCAAATGAAGAGCTACTCAGCTGGTGTAATACTCATAGAACTCCAGCCAGGATAATCAGCATTCATGAAAGGTACCATTGAGCCCAATCTACAGGAAAAGGCCAAAGGCAGAGAGTCCTCAGAGAGGAGAAATAGAGAAGGAAGATAAGAGGGTAAGAAAAGATACCAAAACAGAAGAGAGTAAGAGGAAAGAACTAGAAAGACAAAGATGGAAGGAACGCAAGCTTTATAAAGAGGAATCAAGATGGAAAGGAGAGGGAAATGACATTAAATGGGGGTAGAGGATAAGAGCTGGGAGAAAATTTACCTAAAGAGAGCAAAAACAAAACCAGAAGATGAGACAGTGAAGGAAAAAAAAAAAAAAAAACAAACAGGTATGAAACATGGACTCAATGACAAAAAAAAAGGCCACAAATTGAAAGACAGCAGTCCTCCACACACTCCCCTGTTTCACAGTCTGCTGAGGGTAGTCAGGGTAATGGGGATCTTTTTGTTCAACGACAAAGCATATGGTCCTGAGGTGATCCTACAATCTCTCATTGTCACTGTGAATTTTGACATTAAACTTCATCAGCCCCCCATTTTTCCTACTGCAGAATTAGAGCACCAGCTACTGACTTCAGAGGGACTGACGGGGAAATGAATATTCCTGCAGAACAAATTTGCTGAGAGACAGTTTAAAAATGGTCTAGTTGTCTTGGTCGGAAAACCAAGACACTTTCAAAAGGAGTCAGATAGATTAAAAAAGTATGTTATTTTTAAAAGTTGTTCTTCCACTTATTTGTACTTTATTACACTTTCTGTTGTAAAGCATAGAAACAACACATAATGTATAAATGTCATTGATTTTGTGTTCCTAAGCCATTCACAAGTGGCCTTTCACACATCTTTCAAATGCCAGAACCACTCACACTCTTTTAACTGAACAATTAGCCAAGAGGCATGAAAGAGCAGCCTTTTATTATTAAAGTTGAGGATTGGTGTGAGGGGAAATGATAGAAACATCTAAATGTCTCTAAATTGAGGTAACTAGGCAATTTAACGGAGCAATTAAACTTGATTGATGTGGGCAAATGAGGATTATGAACATTTTTATGAAGCATATTTTTTTTTCTCAGAGGACTAAATGTTAACCTTAAATATAGATTAAAAAATGGTAGGAATACAAAGATGAAAATTGAACAGCAAAGTCTTTTAAAACAATAGTAATATATGTATATAAAAGGGAATTGTGCTTATGCCTTACTGTATAAACAGACAAACAGGAATCTTCTTGGGTTTTTGTGTTTAGTGGTTAAAGCTAGGTGGGCATTAACGTCATAACCATAAAAAGAAAAGATTCTATATAAGCTCCAAAAAAAAAAAATCTTTTACTCATGCTGGTTTCACTTTTGCCTCTTCATTTTTTAACATCTGTTTAATCCAAACATCTACATCAAAATTTGAGATGTAAGAAGTCTGTTGTGAAAGATTCTAAAAAACAACTTTATTTGTATGAGATGCCCAAATTACAGTTGTGAAATCCTGTAACTGTTTAAACTACAAAAAACAGATTTGCATCATAGTAGTTTTAGAGCGTAGGAAAATAATAGTGAAAGGGGATGCATTCAGGTTGGGATAATAAAAGAGAAAAGTAGTATCTCTGGAGACAGAGCTCAAGGCAGTACTGAAGAGAATGCTGTAGCATCATCTGAGTCCCAGACCAGAGCACTATTGTTGTCTATACTCTGCATACTCTTTTATTCATTGAACTGGAAAGGAATTAATTGTCCAAGCACATATGAACCTTTTTTTTTTTTTTAGCTGTGGATACTGTCAGTTATTAAAGAGTTCTCCCCATTTTTGTATGCCTCACACTGCATTGTCAGCCCAAACATGCAGCTGTATCTCACTGGACGAGGATGTGCAGCTGCCAACAAGACGCTCGCAGTGTTACAAACACAAGTTGATTTTGCTGTGGCGCTGCCACCAGATCGATCACTTTATTGCCCATCCTTCTATTCCTGAATTTCATTCCTGTGTATTTTTGAAATAAAGTCTTTTACAAAAGAGATTAAATTCACACCCCCAGTCACTGTAGTCTCAGACCTCAAGGAACTTGAAGAAAAGTTCTAGACTGGATTTATTCATTGCACTGCTGAATAACTTGTGAACTATGGCTATGCACTGAAGTGTGACTGATGGGCACAGTGACATTTTAACCTGAAGATATCTTTTCTTCTGGTTCAGAAATTGTGGCACTTGGCAGGGACTCAATCCAAAAATGAAATAAAAGAATTACATGGGCATCAAAGTAGAGACGTGTCTAGAAGTACTACCTAACCAAAATTTGCAACACCCGAGTTGAGTTTTAAAAGAGATCTAGTTCTACACGTGGCTGCTTAGTACAATTTGAAAGGGCTGAGGTGAATGCAGCTTTAAATCACGGGTAAACAATGAAGTGATAGTACAACTATATATAAAAATATATGCTGTGTTTCCTAGAGATCTTCAGATACTCCAGGGGTAAAAAAAAAAGAAAAGAAAAGAAAAAAATCTGCCCTGTTGCAAGATCATATTCATAGGTACAGTTACTCTTTGTATGCATTTGACAGCTTTGACATGGCAGTCCCACTGGCTACATAAATCCATGTACTGGCATCCATCACTGAGTTTAGAGCACAAACCTAGAATTATTCTTACATAAAGGGATGAGATTCCACTTTCTTTAAGACTAAAGATAGATCTGAACAAGTCTTAAATCTTACTCGTTAACCCAAGAACAGCTTTTGGCAGTCTGCAGTGGAAAGGACCAACCTGCTTTCCTGGTAACAAGAGGCACAACTGTGGAATGGTTTTGTAATGCTCTGGATGGCTGGCACTAAAAGGAAACTTCCAGACATCCTTTTCATTTTTGCTGTGTCTTATTGATGTTCATATAGTTCAAGCAGTATGCTCGCCTGGAAGCTATCTGATGTTACTACCTGTACAACCCATCATAAACAATCAACCTCTACTGACAACTCCATTTTTCAGGGAAGATAAAGTCAAACTCCTGCTGGTATGTGGCTTGGCAAAGCAAAAGGGATACTGTGTTACTGTAGGCAAACCCAGAATCTTTTTGCTTGGTGTTGAAAGAACCTCTTCGAAAGATGAATTCCCCTCTGTCAAGGAATGATTTAAGGTACTGTTGACCCTGCTTTTGAGGAGGGGATGAATTAAATTTTATCACAGTATCGTTTCAGCAGTGTTTTTCTTTTTTTGTTGTATGATTTTACTTCTGGCTACAACTATTCTGAAGGCAAGCACAGCAGTGTATTTCAGCAGAAGCAAATGAAACAAAAGGCAGAATCTCTTCCAAGCCATTGCAAGTAGAGGGACTAAACAACATACTGAGGCAAAATTATTGGCTGTGAGCACACACAAGGGGCTATTTAAACAATGAAAATTACTGTCATGTAATACAGTCCATGCCTTTTCAGCATTTTAGGAAGTAATGGGTAACATTACTCCAATGGTTAAAAGGTATCATATTTTAATTGGATGGCATGATAACTAGCAAGAGAAATCTTCACTTTCTCTCAGATTTTATTGCACTAGTGTTCTGTACTTACCTTTAAAATTTTTGTACCCCAAAAAAGCAAGATGTGAAAAGTCAAACTAAAATGACTCCCCCACCTGCACTTCTAAGATTCTTTATGCAGCTTTATTGGCACTTGTTCAGTATTTGTTTTCCTAGCCTTGTAACTTGCACTATGATGTATACTTGATGCCTTCAGTTTCCTGTTCCAAGCACAGTGACTATTTGTTATTTTTACAACGCCTAAAGTTAAAAGTTACCTTTGAAACTTCTGTTTATTCAGAGAGTATCACAAAGGAGTTTTCCATTCATTTTTGATTATTAGAATAGGCTCTC